CGATAAGGTGAATAACAGCAAGCTATCTATGAGAATAAGACGAAGCATATCATGGGAAAAATGTGACTTTTCCAATATGAAAATTTATAATTATGGTAAAATGTGTTACGGATAATCAACAAATTGTGTTAGTGACAAGAGAGTATTATACACAGTAAGTATCCGGGGTATTTTACAATTTCTGTACCCCCCTATGTATAGTATCCACCAGTGTAATGTACCTCCGGGTACGGCCAAAAACCTCTAAAATTTGCAAAGGATCTGGGTACTATGGCCCGCAATATACGGTAAACTATATAATATTTATATTAAAAAGTAAATCATTTGATATGATGCATGTATTACATATTTAATATGTATCATTTTCATAATATTTAGCATAGTTATAAATCATTTAAAATACAATATAATTTGTGACTAATAACGGAAATGCAATTTTAGTATTTTTGCAGTTATAACACTGGTCGAAATAAGAACTTTCAGTCATGTGACAAATCGATCAAATTTCAACTAATTTTCAAAGTTCGGCTAAGACTCGACCTATAATTTTTGACCAAAATTTCGGCAACATTTCAGCAGCATTAAGATCGTTTAAAAATTGACTGATTTTCAAACCTTTGTTTTGTAGTTGAATGATTTAAAATAAATAAAAATTTACTCATCAAATTTCATATAAAATTAGTATTAAAATTGTCAAATTTCAGTCAAATAAAATTATTAAAATCGTCAAATTTTATTCAAATAAAATGTAAAAAAAATGCCTTAAAACCGTCAAATTGTTACAATAAAAAAATTTAACGAAATCTTAACGAAATTTTAACAAAGCTTTATTGAAATTTTAACGAAATTATAACGAAACTTCATTGAAATATTAACGAATATGATACTTTCTATTAATTGGATTAATAGCCAAATATTCCACTGCATTTCGCCGATTCGAAGTTTTATATTTTACTGGAACAAATCGTTCAAGAATATGGTGCACTGGTATTATGCAATCATGGCTTTCAGGATAAAAGCTAGACCGCCATAATTTGACGTTACAAGTTTGTTCATCATCATCGACGCTAAAATAATACCTTGAATCTGTATGGCTATACCATCGAACGTATGTCAGATAATGCTCTGATGGTCTTTCAGGCAGATCGACTATATGTGTAAAGAAGTATTGGATTTGTCCAGGATAGCAATTGACACTGCCATCTTTAGTAACAAATTTTGCCTGTATAAACGAACTTTTTATATAGCGTATTGATAAAGCAGATCTGAAAGTTTCTGATCTAATTCGACATCATCCAAATTTATTTATCCTAATACCAATTATTATTGAATTTTCGGTACCTTCTCCAAATACTTTTCAAAATTTAAGGTCCTTATAAGTTGCATTATAATATTCTACCATTAAATCAGGCATTGAGTTCGATATATCTATTAATAGGACGTTTTCGATAGAAGGTTTCATCATTTCTCCAGGAAACGGTTCTCTGCCACTAATTATTGACTCCTTGATATTTATTGAGCTGAGCCAAAACTGATACATTTCGTCAGATACATACTGATCACTTTCTGAAACAGACCCAACAGACTGGTAACTTTCGAGAAATTCAAGACCTTTAGTATTGGTTCTCGAGCATATATCATCAATTAAATTATCAGTCACCAGTCTGCGTATTAATTCCAGTTCGATCTGTCGATTGCTATTCGGCAAGGAACCTGATATAAGAATTTAAAATATTACTATATGCGTTTTAAGAAATCAGACGAGAAAAGCAAAATTTCAACTTACCTAATTTACCGTTCATACATTCGAACGAATAACACCAGAAAGAGTAAAGGAGACCATAATCATATGAACATTCATTCAAATGAAGAGAAAGGTGAAGATTCGGCATTATTTTATCCCGGCCGTAATTCTCTTCAATCAGCTTCATGATTTCAATTAGTTTCAAATGAGCTTCTTTTATTAGATCAAATTTTATAATTCGATTCACTAAAATCGTACAAACTCTTACAAAATATGTAAGAATTTTCCGTCCTTAACCGGAAGATATTCCCAAAGCAAAATAGTAGCATATATCGTGAAGAAGTTTCTCTAATGATCGGCTGTGAAATTTGAGAAACCTTTTTTTCCACAATCGATTTTTTTGGGATTCGGCTCACATCAGATGGAACTTGAAATTTATTCATTTTTTTTGAATTTGTTTCAGATCTTTTCTTGTTAAGATATCATTATCAATCCAAATTCGTTTATCTATCCATTTTGCTATTCCTAAGAATAAGCAATGCATCAGATCGACAATGATAAATCAGACTGAATCGAAATATGTTAATCGAAGTAATTCAAACCATCTGATACCATTTTGTTTTACAAACCGTTCTCTTGATGTGTTTAAATTGCAGCATTTCCATTTATAAGCATCCTGATGATGTTGATCCAAATCCCGTAAAATGAACCATTCGTCCATATCATCCATTCTGGCAAAATTATGTTTCTGATTTTCATAATTTGCCCTTTTTTCGCACCTGTGACATGAAACAAGGACTGAAACATGGCCACATATTTTCCTAGCGGCAGGAATATCACACGATACAAGTATTAATGCTGCATGAATAGCTTCCCATTTAGACATTCATTAGTACGATTAAGAGTCACGCCTTTCCAAAGTGATTCTAATTCTGTAACTATAGGCACTAAATAATGATTGATTTTGTGTAAACTTACTTCATTTGGTCCTGGCAACAGACCAAGTAGAAGTAAGTTTTCACGTTTAAATCGTATATCTCACGGTAAATTACAAATAGCCGCATAAATCGCTCTGGTACTGTGAACGGTTCCCTCATACAGCTGAAACCAATTAAGATTCAGCATAAGTCCCAGATTGGAATCAGCAACTTCGAGTCGAAAAAATAAGGGTGAATCTTCAACAGTTGTATCTTTGAAATTCTTCCAAACCTAGCCGTCATATATGTCGGTTAAGGTATTATTAAATTCTGACCTATTTATCCAATGTCTTAGGGATTTCTCGAATCCAGGCCAACGAAACATTACGGCAAGTTGTTGGATGCCAACAAACGGATAAGTGAGTATAGCTTTGTACGAAATTTGGCTGTTCAACATTTTTGTTTTTTGTGATAAGGCCATCTGACAATAATTTGCTCTGCGTTTTGTCGAATTCGAGTATTCATCATGTTGGCACTTCATAATAGCTGATACACCATCTTCATTAAAGTTTTCAACTACTTGTTGTTTATACAGCTTGTGGCATTTCGGATATGCTACGAAGCTATGAAAGCAGTCTTTAATGTCAAGTACCTTTCTCATAAGATACAATATATCAGGAAACATGTTAAAATCTGTGCTTCCGGTTTCTTTTAATAATAGCTTTATAAACTTTAATAGTGATTCTGTAGCAGTTTCTGGAAGATTATATCTTATCCGAAAGCTCATAATCCATATTAAGATCCATAAAAATTTGTTATTACCTATCGTCTCTGCAGTAATTTGAAATGGATCAAATTCGGGACATAAGTAATCTTCGAAATTTTTGTAAAACTCTTCGTTATTGGTTAATCTAGTATCGTTATTCAAAAAAGAATCTGTATTTTGTTCATTATCGGTAAAGAACTCTGAATCTTCGTTCTCTGGATCTTCATATTCTAAAGTAACCCTAGCCAAATTTCGACGATTACCATGTCCTTTTACATGTCTTCTAGGTAAGAATTTCAATTCAGGTTCATAACTATCGTCATCATCCGTAGTTTTGTTTCTTGTGTATCTTGACTATCTTGTATATCTTGTTGAACCACAAATTGACGAAAGGTTGATGTTGAAAGTAATAGAATGTAAATGCCTTCTAGTTCAACTTTGTCTTCTTGATCTGTAGTTACTTTTTCAGACGAACTCTTGGCTTCATGTAAAATCTTTGTTCGTGGATCCACAAAATCGCCTTTACAATTGATACAATTACAGCGAACCTTCAATATTGCTTTACGGACAGACCTACTAGTAGTAGAATGATTAACTTGTGATAGCTCATCGATTATGTCGCTAATCACCCTTTTTCTAGGCATTATGTTTCCTCTTTAAGTTTTTTATCAATTTGCCTTACAATTCGATTATAAATTTTCTAAGAAAGTTTATATGTTCGTTAGTTTCAGAGATTATTTAGTTATTTATAAATGTATAAATATATTATGAAAAAATTAATAAATCAACTTTATTGATATTAATATTAAATCAAATCAATAAATCATATAAATCATACAATACATTTATTATTGATATTTTGAATATCTATGATTATTATTGATATTATCAATAAATTAAAAATTAACGAAAATTATTCAAAGTCTATTATTTTAAATCAAGTTTATTTAAAGTCTAAATTTTAATATAAATAGAAGACATTTTTTTAACTTCTTTCATAACGTTCTCTTCACGTTTTATAAATCAACAACAAAATAATGTCTCAAAAAAAAACTATTCTACGTCTTCGTTCAGAAGAACAAGAAAAAACAAAAAACAAAAATAAAGGCAAAGAAATATCAGATGGTGATCGTTTTAGTTTTACCACAGGTTCGTTATCAAAAGTTGAATTAATTATTGTCAATCTAATTACTAAATATATAAATATATATTTTTTTCATTTAGAAAATCGCAAATTAAAATGAAAAATTTCTGAATTAAAACAACAAAACGATCGATTGAGCTCCTAAAATAAAGAGGTTATACTTCAGGTAAAAACTATAACAAAGGAGAATAAACGTCTAAAAGACGAAAATTAAACTCTGATAATAATAAATGATGCATTCAGCGAAGAAAATGACGAGCTACAGGCCAAGCTCGAAAGATTTCGCTCTTTTCAATTCCCTAGAAGTTTACAACCAAGCTTTAGCTTAATCGACGAATCCGATGAACTTACAGAACGAAAAAAGAAGAAAAGTAAGGATGAAGAGGATTCTGAAAATTCAGAAAGCGTGAGGGTTTGTAATCTCTCAATTATTTTCATTAAATCATATATGTCAAATTTACTCTTAATCTATTCCTT